TATATATATGTATGATTATATGTATATGTATATATATATATATATATATATATATAAATATATATATAAATGTATATATATATATATATACATATATATATATATATGTATATATATGTATATATATATATATATATATATATATATATATATATATATATATATATATATGTATGTGTGGACCCCGGGGTAGAATAGGTCCAACGTACCCTCTGCGTGTCGTAAGAGGCGACTAAAAGAGGTTGGCGGCAGGAAGGGCATCCGGCCGTAAAAAACCCTGCCAAGCCAATACATGATGCGGAAAATCAGGAATGCAGACAGAGCTAGGGCGTACCCCGCAGGCGACGCGTCGGATGACCGCCGTGATCCGGCGACAAATGGGCAACGGCTACCGTATCAAGAGCGGATACGGCTAAAGAAGCAAGCTCAGAGGAAGAGGAAGAAGAAGAGAGAGGCACGGAGAACCACCAGGAAACTACGAATCGGCACACTCAATGTGGGAACGATGACTGGTAGAGGAAAGGAGACTGTTGACATGATGGAAAGACGGAGTATCAACATCCTATGCGTACAGGAGACCAAGTGGAAAGGAGCGAAGGCCAGAGAAATGGGTAATGGGTACAAGATGTACTATGTAGGACACGACACTAGAAGGAACGGCGTCGGGATAGTGCTAGACCCTGAGATGAAGGAAGGTGTGCTGCAGGTTCACAGGGAATCTGACCGTGTGATGTGGATGAAGGTGGAAGTGGAGAACGAACCGGTGAACATCGTATGTGCATACGCACCACAAGTGGGCTGTGACGACGTGGAAAAGGAAGACTTCTGGAGAACAGTGAGCGAGGTCATGGTAAAGATCCCAAGAACTGAGAGAGTCTGGATTGGGGCAGATCTGAATGGACATGTGGGTGGTGGAGCGCAAGGATATGGAGACAACATCGGTAAATTTGGGTTTGGAACGAGGAACGAAGAAGGGCAGACCATCCTAGACTTTGTGGCGGCAAACAACCTGGCGGTCACAAACACCTATTTCAAGAAGAAGGACTCGAGGAAGATCACCTACACAAGTGGTGGTGTGAACTCCCAGGTGGACTATATCATATGCAGGAGAAGTGAGCTGAAAAGAGTACAGGACTGCAAGGTGCTGCCAGGTGAAGCGGTTGCGAAGCAACACAAAGTGGTCATCTGTACAGCGACCATGAAGACAGAGACAAGGAAGAAACCGGACAGAACCAGGAAGACAAGATGGTGGAAACTGAATGAGCAGGAGCACAGGGAAAAGTTTGTGGAGAAGGTCAGGGAAGGTATGGAAGCACAGGCAGAGAAGACGTGGGCGGAGTCCAGCAGAGTGCTGACTGAGACGGCAAAGGAGGTCCTTGGCGTGACATCTGGAAAACCAGGAAAGAAGGAAGAGACATGGTGGTGGGGAGAGGAAGTCCAAGACGCAGTGAAAGAAAAGAAGGAGGCGAAGAAACAGAGAGATCTGAATAGATGTGAAGAGACAATCGAAAGGTACAAGGCGGCGAACAAAGCTGCGAAGAGAGCTGTTGCAAAAGCCAAATCGGAAGCGTACAAAGATCTATACGACAGTCTGAAGGACGACGAGGAAGGCCAAAGGAAAGCGATCCGGATTGCAAAACAGAAGAACCGAGAATCCCAAGATGTCTATCAGAGCAAGCAGATGAAAAACACAGACGGAGCGGTACTGACGGAAGAAAGCGATATCAAGGAAAGATGGAGGTCGTATTTTGAACAACTGATAAATGTGGAGAACGAAAGAATCGACAGAACCGTGGAAGCAAGAGCAGAGACTGAGGTAGAGGAGATAAGAGAAGAGGAGGTTGTGAAGGCTCTGAGGAAGATGAAGAACGGCAAGGCGACAGGACCGGACAACATCCCAGTGGAAGCATGGAGAGTACTGGGCCGAGCAGGCGTGAAAATACTCCTGGAAATCTTCACCGGAATTATGGAAAGTGAGAGAATGCCAGATGAGTGGAGAGACAGCACGCTAATACCGATATTCAAGAACAAGGGGGACATCCAGGAATGTGGTAACTACCGGGGCATCAAACTGATGTCACACACTCTGAAAATATGGGAAAGGATCATCGATGGAAGACTGAGGGCGATCGTGACGATTTCGGAGCAACAGTTCGGTTTCATGCCAGGCAGGTCCACGACAGACGCAATATTTGCGCTGAGACAACTGATGGAGAAATACAGAGAGGGTCAAAGGGAGCTGCACAGTGTCTTCATTGACCTGGAAAAGGCGTACGATAGAGTACCTAGATCGGAGGTGTGGAACTGCTTGAGGCTGAAAGAGGTGGACGAGAAGTATGTCAGGATAATCCAAGACATGTACGAAGGCACGACAACGAAGGTGAAGTCCATAGTGGGAACCACGGACAGTTTCCAAGTCAAAGTGGGATTGCACCAGGGATCCGCACTTAGCCCTTTCCTCTTTGCATTGGTCATAGACTGCCTGACGGTAGCAGTGCAG